AATAAGCATTATTCTCCTGGCCGGGACAGCTCCTGCATAAAAACAAGTTTTGCCTTTTGTTATCCTTTAACACCGAATCATTGTTGTGATAGGCAGTCTTAAGCAGATGGATTGAACCATGGCCAGTTCAGCAGGACCAGCCGAGATTCAATCGATCTATGGGCAGGCTGATTGTACCCAAGTTGATCCATCTATCGACTTGGATACAACCAGCATGTTGGAATTTTAGCATGCGATTATTGCCAGCAGCTATAACCACTAGCAATAATCATTGTATTCTCCTGGCCGGGAGAATACAATGCACACACATATATATACACATATATATATATATATATATACATACACACACACACACAAAACATAACACACACACACACACATATATATATACATACACATACACACACACACACATATAGATATACATACACACACAAAACACACACACATATACACATACACACACACACACACACACACACACACACACACACTGTTGAAATGCGTTTATTGCAAAATATATTAAGAATATTTTTAAAAATTTTCAAACATACCATACGTCTTTAAGAATTCAAATCTACATTTTTGGAACGCATTTACAAGTATATGTAAAAATATATGTTGAAATGCGATTTTTATATATTACAAAATATATGAAAAATATTTTTAAAAAATATATATTTTTTTTTTAAATATGTTCTTCAGATTTTTTGTAACATAAAAAAGTCATTTTAACATATTTTTACATATATTTCTAAATGTATTCCAAAAATGTAGATTTACATTTTTAAAGACATACAGTATATTTGAAATTTTTTTTAAAAAATATTTCTCATACTTTGTAATAAAAACCCATTTCAAAATACATATATATATATATATATATATTGAATATGGCCAAAATTTGTAGTATTTCAAATATATGTCAATATATTTGGAAGAATATTTTTTAAAATATATTTCAAATATATTTTTCTTCCATATGGGATTTCAGACAGACCATACACGGGGCGAAATCCATATGAATTCGCTTTAGAAAATCAAAAATTTGGTGCGTTTTGTAATCCGATGGTGCCACCATTGATTTTGAAATTCAACCAACCAAGCCTACAATTTCTCCACATGTTGTTACAGAAAAGAATTTTTTCGTGGCCGAGAAATTTTCTTTTCTTTCCAGGTCACAGCTTTCTATTTCTTGTACGATTTTCCCATCATTGATGAAATTGTTTCGTTTTTCAAAAAATTTCCAACATGCCCGATCACTCAAATTCGATGGTCACACGAAAATAAGCCATTTCTGTGACTCACTAATGATGCGAAATTCAAACAAAAATTATTAGAAAAAATTTTTCAAAACTAAATTGTTTTGGAATTCAACCCGTGTATGGCCCGGCTTAAGGGTGGCTTCTTGTACTGTAATCCTGATGGCAGTTCACACACTAAATCTGGCCATAGACGGAATGAAATTTGAATGGATCCACAGGGAATTTAATTCCTTGTACAGCTGTCCTGTTTGACAGGACTAGATAGTTGGATTGACTTCTGTTGAATGGGAAGGTTGGAAAACTTTTCTTGGTCAGTGGCTGCACCTTCTGATCAATGTGTTCTGAAAGCAGAGGATTCCCACTGTCAGAATACTATACCTCAGTGGAAAGGATTCCTCTATCAACCTGGCTTATTTGGCAGGAGGAATCCATCCAGCCCACTGAATAATTGAAGAAAAAAAGAGTTGTCTATGGTCTCTGAAAGATATGATTACAAGGTGTGGCAGTGCGGTATCCTGCCACGGTCTAAATCAAGGTTATAACCCAGGGCTCTCAGCTATACGGGTTGAGGGGCTCCAGGCGGTTTGCTTGATGCAGAGGAAACTGGTTTGTCTGTTTCCTTGTCGGTTCATAAAGCCCATATTGGGACCTGGGGCCTGGAGATTTCAAAGTGATTTGGGAGGGATGAAAATCTCCAATCCTGGGTCCATGTTTTCAGAATCCCCAGCACACTAATTGCACAGGTGTGTGCAGGCCTTTTTGAAGAGACCAAACCATGGTTCTGGGCTCCACCCCTGCAGACAGGAGGTCGTTGTCCAGGAGTCAGGAGGGTGCCACCTAGAAGAAGAGGGAGCCAGAGCAGCAAGGGGCTGAGAGAGGCAGGAGGCTGAATCTTTGTTTTTGTTTGTATTGATGGTGGATACCCCTGCGTGGGAAACCTGTATTGTATGGAACTTTCTTTTAAATAAAATTGGGCAAAAACGGCCCTTAAAAAGAAGAAAAGTGAGTGGCTGTGTGCTTCAAAAGCTCTACCCATGATGCTAGTTCCCACAAAGGGCACAACCACAAAAAAAAAAAGTAAGAATTCCTGCATGTACTCCTGTGACCCAGATTCAGTCGACAGCTGGCTAAAGCCCACGGTGGGCAGACAGAGTGGGTCCAGGCTCCGCAGGGATCCTTGGGATAATGTCGGGATCCACCCAGATACCTGACCAGCAGCTTGCTTAGCCTCTCAATGCACCACTGAGAGCCAAAACCTACTGCTACTACCCACTCCAAAGCTCGGAATTTCAGTGATCACTGGAGGGGCACAGTAGAGAACCAGTAACTGAGAGTCACCGCTCTCTGCTTTGTTGAAGACTGAGAACTGAGCGATTTGCAGTCTTCAATCGCTCACTTCTTGGTGTATAGCGGGAGGGGGACAGCTGCAGCTTGAATCAGTGCTGCAGCCATCTAGGTGAATATAAATGTTTGATTTCTGAACTTCTCTTTTTCAGCATAACTGAAGGCAAAACTTTATTTTTAGTTTTGGATTGGATGGAGAGGAATTAGAATACCTGTCAGGTTTTTATTGCTGTGTGTGTCCCCATTAGGGGGAATCACTCTCTCTAAGTGCCTGGTGACTGTTCTCACATTGGATCAATGCTGCATCCACCTAGGTATGATTTAAAAAAACAAACAATGCATACTTCTCTTTTAAATCAGAGCTGCAGTTAAACTGTAAAATATTAAAAGTCAGCAGCTACAAAAACTGTAGATGTTGACTTTTAGGGCCGGTTCACACTATAGAAACGCAGTCCAGATGTGTTCCAGATGCATTTTTGCAGGCATGTTTTTGGCATGTTCTGGTGCGTTTTTTATGCATTCCAGTTAATTTTTCCTCTTTTTCTTTAATTTAATTAGGGACATGTGCATGTCAGTGCATTTTTGATGCATTTTACTTCGTTCCAATACAGTTCTGGGCAGGAAAAATGCAGCATGTTCTACTTTTTTTTTTCTGCACCCGGAACGCACTGGAACTGCAAGCACTGATGTGAACTATGACATTGACAACCATATAACCTACTTTCTGTGTGTTATGGATGCAGAAAAAAAGCAACTGAACGCATGTAGTGTGAACTGGCCCTTAAAAAACACTTACCTGCCCCATGATCCAGTGGTGTGCTCATTGCAGCTGGTTGCACCGGCCATCCTCTCTCCCTGGCGTTGGTATCTTAGGTGTGGGCACCCAGCTGTGACACTGCGCATGTGCTAGTAGCGCTGCACCTTGGAATGGTCCTGCAGTCTTCTAAGACCTGTCACGTGTCCCAGAAGACTACAGGGATGGGGGATAACTTCTGCTTCCGATCGCCTATGCCAGTGGTCTCCAAACTGCGGCCCGGGGCCCAGATGTGGCCCTTTGCTTGCTTTTATCCAGTCCTTAGGGCACTTTTTCATCCACTGATATCAATGAAGTGGCACAATTCCTCCCAATGACACCCATCGATGGGGCACAATTTCTCCCAATTACACCCAATGATGGGGCACAATTCCTCCCAATGACACCCAATGATGGGGCACAATTCCTACCAATGACACCGAATGATGGGGCACAATTCCTACCAATGACACCGAATGATGGGGCACAACTGCTCCCAATAACACCCTTGATGGGGCACAATTCCTCCCAATGACACCAACAATGGGGTCCAATGCCACCAATGATGGGGTGCAATTCTTTCTAATGACCCCAACAATGGGGCACAATTCCTCCCAATGATGGGGCACAATTCCTACCAATGACACCCAATGATGGGGCATAATTCTTCCCAATGACACCCAACGATGGGGCACAATTCCTCCCAATGACACCACCATGGGGTCCAATGCCACTAATGATGAAGTCCAATTCCTCCCACTGACACTAAAGATTGGGCATTGTCTATTCCCACTAACGTCAGGACCTTTTGTACTCCCAACAGCCACATTCCAGCCCCCCTAAAGTCTGAAGGACAGTAAACTGGCCCTTCGTTTAGAAAGTTTGGAGACCCCTAGCTTAGGCTATCACAGCGGACGTGAGAGCGGGTACCTGTCAAAATCAGTACCCGCTCCCCAAATGCTCCAATCCCTAACAGAGAGCGGGGGATGAGACCTTAAAGTGGAACTTTCTCTTTTGGGTGGAGCTCCGCTTCAAGGCTCCATTCACAGCTAGTATTTTGTGATTGTGCCTTTTTTGTACTCGTTTTTCTTGTGACATGCATAGAGCAGCCCATTCCTTTCAATGGGCTGCTATACCTGCAACAAAGACAGGAAAGTAGTTCATGTAGCGTTTGGCTGCGTTGAGCCTTGCGTTTTGTTACTGTGCATTTTGCTGTGTTTGTTGTGCCTTTTTCTCTGCAACAAAATTTCACCTTCTTGCTTCATTAACAATGAACGGCACCGCAAACGCCACAATATTTTACGGCCTTTCCTAATATGCGATTTAATGCATGTTTGCAAAATGCACTGGTATCAATGGAGCCTTGGGGGCATTTTTCTGCCAACTTCTGGCCACATATCTGAATTTTAGGTTCATATGTACATGTAGCCTAAATATTGATATTCTCCCTATACATAGCAGAGGGATCCTATAATAATCAGTGGACTATGGGGAAGATTGTAGCCCAGTGTCTGCTCTACACACTGCTCCTGACAGAGGTCACCCAGGGAGAAGGAGGAGGTGATGTGCCCGGATATATATCTGTCAGATCTCACCCGGTATAGCACGGTGATCGGTCCTCTCCGGCCGCAGATCTCCGCTGTTCAGGGCTCTCCCATCCAAACAAGCCGGTCACCAGGGCAACACAGAGGACGCTTCTCCATGACTACGAGGGCACGCCTTCTCCCAGGGACCCGCCCCTCCTCCTTCCATGTGTGCCGTCACTGGTCAGACTTGTCTGCTCAGTGATCATCGTTATCTATGGGCCGATAAACTCCCTTGATGGCTCCCAGATCAACAGATACAAAACACAAATAAATGGCGAAGGCTCATGTCTAGACAACACAATGACTGTTGTCAATCATTTAGCATAACCCATGGATGTAAGACAGCAAATTAATCCCCTGGGGGGGGGGGGGTGATAGGGGTTATAGACCCCCCCCCCCTTTTTTTTTTAATGTATTTATTCCTTTTGATGAAGGGCAGTTTATAATGAGATTCGATCCATGTATGGGCAGGCTGATTGTACCCAAGTTGACCCATTGATCGACTTGGTTACCATCAGTATGTTGAATTTCTACCATGCGATTATTGCCAGCGGCTATAGCCACTAGCAGTAATCATTGAGTTCTCCCGGCAGGGATGGCCCCCCTCGCAATAGCTCCACGGGAGGCATTTCCCCATCAGCACTGTGTTAATGCAGGAAATTGAGTGATTTTTTTCCCCTGCAAGCCATGGTTGCAGGAAAAAAAAATCACATCTATGGCCTACAATATACAGTGTGGATGGAGGAATCTCTAGCTGAGGTTATTGTATTCTGACAGCTGGAACCAACAGATTAAGTGAACAGTGCCTGTATCTGATTAGAAATATATTTCAATTGAAGGATTTTGGGTGGGAAGGGACCAACGGGGCCATCCACCAAGCAAATTACAAGCAGTTCACCAGGAACCAGACAAAATTCAGTGTATGGCCAGGCTAAATCATTGACATGGAACAAGAGTGCAGATCAGAAAATTGTGTAAAGTCTGAACTGCTGATCTTCATACATACAGGTTACAGGTATGTGCCTTAGAAATCATTGGGCCCCTTTTATACAGGCGTTCTGTTTGTTACTGAGCTGGTCCTGCACCTTTTTGGTGCGGATGCAGTGCGATTGGAGCCATACAAAATGTATGGCTCCAATCGCATCGCCCAGAATTTGCATGTGATTTGCACAGGAATGCGGTTCGGTTCCTGTGTGAATCACATGCGATGTGCTGAACCGCAGAAATGTGAACCCAGGCTCAGTCTCAAAAGGGAATTTTCCTCCCTGCAATCTCCCCCATCTTCTGCTAAATTAAGCCTGGGTTCACATATATGCAGTGCGGTATATTGCATGTGATTCTTACAAGATCCCCACCATATTCCTGTGCAAATCACATGCGATTTGTGTGCGGAACGATTGGAGCCATACATTTTGAATGGCTCTAATTGCACCGCACCGAAAAGGTGCAGGACCCATTTTTGGGTCCGCACTAGAATCAGATCACATGGGTATCCACACCTATGCGATCCGATTCTGCACATCGCACCACGTTCTGCGGACTGCTTTCGAGGTGTTGTTAACGTAACATGCACACATGCAGCGGTTTGCATGAATGGGGTGCGATTCTGATGCGGTGTGAAATTCGCACAGAAAACACTGCAAATTCCGCACCAGATCAGTATGAACCAGTGCTAAATCTAATGTTTTTCTTGCTTGTTTACTATTTTATTTATTTATTTTAATTTGGCCTTGCCTCTTAGGCGAGATGACATATACTGCACCTGCTTCCATAGCTTGGTGCACCTCAAATATCTTAAGAGGCTGCTTGAGCAGAGACCCATGGAGACTGGTGGGCAGGCCTGGTACGTGCCATCAGGGGCCGACTGCCTGAACCCGGAAGGGGCAGATAGGCCCCCGATGATGTCAAAAGGAGAGAAGCCGGCATGGGCTGTGGAACCTGAGCAGTGGATTGCAGCAGGACAACACTAAGAAAGTGAATATCTGAACTGTGGACAACCCTGGATAACTGGTATGGAGAGAAAAAAAAGCAGGTGGGAGCTGAGCTTGACATTCCTCTTTAACCATTTCCTGCCCCTAGGACATCATATGATGTCCTGAATTTCCAGTGGTTATATCAGGATGATTTCTGCAGCTACAGACATCATCCCAGTATCTAAGTCATCATATGACGTCCTGAATTTTTAGTGGGTATATCAGGGTGATGTCTGCAGCTACAGGCATCCTCCGAGTATCTTTTTTTTCAGCTGGTGATACACTTTTATGTAAAAGTGATCCTAATGGCTAATTAGCCACTGGATTACTTTTACATGCAGCAGGAGGGGGTTACCCCCACCGCCTTCCTTTGCCTTTCTGGGCTTTCCCCTTCCAACCAGGGAGCCCGGGACTGAAGCCTTCTTACCATAGAGATGAGCAAGGACCGGAACATCCCCAGTCAACTCTATGGTGTAAAAAAACTGGAAGCGACGAGGATTTTGTCACTTCCGGTTTCACTGGGATATAAACAAGCCGTTACTAGCTTGTGAAAGCATCTGATCAAACCAATCTTGGACCCCAGATGTCTCAGCAAAGAAGACCTGTCACTGTTCCAGCTATCACAAGGGATGTTGTCCATCCCTTGTGAGTAGCAATAAATGTGATAAAAAAATTAGAGAGACGATGCAAATAAAAAATAATTTATAAAAAATGTAATGTACCCCTGCCCTGTGCTCAAACGCATACATACTGCAGGAAAAAAGAACATGGTGTTCGTACCACACATGTGAGGTATCGCCGCAAACAGAGCGAGAGTAATAATTTTAGCACCAGACCTCCTGTGTAACTGTAAACTTGTAACCTGTAAATGCTTTTAAAGCGTCGCCTATGAAGATTTTTAGGTACTGTAGTTTGGTACAATTCCACTGGCGTACTCAATTTCAAAGCATGACATGTTAGGTATCTATTTACTCGGCATAACATCATCTTTTATATTTTATCAAAAATGGGTATTATATTGTGTTTGTGTACACTAACATTCATCAGCAGAACTTTACTCATAACAATTCACACAAAATAATGTTCTTTAGCAAGGAACATACATTCCACATGAATAATTATGCTACCAAAATGAGTGTGTGCTGTAAATTGCCTCCAGCATTGTTCCTGTTTCTTCTTGCTGGAGGCTGCCATTTTGTTTGTAGCAGGACCCCCTTAGGCGTCGCTAGAAGATTTGGGTCCCCCTATAGTCTTGCACAGCCAGACATCACACATCTTCACCAAGACTTGCACCAGGAGACAGAAAACCAGTCCTTGAGCCTTGTTTTAAAGTTTTATTAGGGATGTAGAACTTGGATGGGGTAAGGGGTGTATGAGATGCCCAAGGGAATGGCAACTGAGGACAAACTTCCTGAACGAGTTACAAGACTTTACACAGAAATCCGCTTATGGAGAGCTAGCCAGCATCTCCCATTGTACCTCTCCAGCCCCAGAAGCTCCTCAATCCAACTGTATCCCTGGACAGGGGATCCAGTAATTAATACTAGAAGGGCAATAGTCCCAGCTGCAGAGCGAGTTAGGTTTCCCAACCAAATGCTCTCTCCCCTCTCCGGCCTAGGGGGTAAAGGTGTATTCACTGAGTCCTTCTCCTGTGTGCTGCTGTTGGGAGAGTGACTGTTATCAGCTGGGCCACTCATTCCTTTCCGCCAAGTGGTCCTCTCTCAGTAGCCTGAATCCTCCTCTTCTGGGGTCCTCCGCTGCCACTCCTGGCCCCTCCCTCCTGTCAGGTGCCCCCAGAGAAAAACAGCTTGCTGTGGGGGCACCCAAGCAGGTCCTCTCCCAAGCCGCTGCTCTGTGTCCATTCACATGGAGCCGTGGCGCGACCTCGCACCCTCTTTCTCCTCATTGGCTCACTGGCTGTGATTGACAGCAGTGGGAGCCAATGGCTCCCACTGCTGTCTCAGTCAATGAGGTTTGAGAGTCCTGGAGAAGCCAAGACTCTCGTGAACATCGCTGGATCACAATGGGTGGGTAGTTGGGGTGGCTACTACACACAGGTTTTTTACCTTCATACAAAGAATATATGAAGGAAAACACTTGAGCCTTTACAACCACATTAACCCCGGTTCACATCTGTGCGGCCGTGTGGGCTGCGATTTATGGGGGAACGAGAACCCATTCATTTGAATGGACTCCCGTGCCCCATGACACACAGGGAAGAAGTCCCTGCACTACTTGGGAAATCGCAGCCCGCACGGAAACCAAAGATCCCACTATGGTTGCGATTTCCACTGTGGGCGGCACCACCCACAGAGTTGTGAACCGAGCCTAAAGTGGTACTGAACCAGAACCAAAAATGTAATATATTACAGCTTATGAATCCTCAGTGACATCATTCCTTTTTTTTATTTTTCCCTCTATTTTCACCTGGTGGTCCGACCAGTCCCCCTGCCAAGTCTGGAATGGAGACACCCGAAGATCCTGTAAAACCGCGGCTCAGCTGCCTGTTTTTACTGCACCTGAAGGAGCACTAAACGAACCCGTGAGCAAAAACACTCCTAAAAAATAAAAAAGAATGCGGCCATCACATCTGAGAATCAGTAATACAATCAATGTGTGTTTCTTGTGGCTTTACGAACAATGGATCAGCATAATAGGCAGACAACCAGCAGAGGACAGCAATGGCACCCTCCACATTCTCCAGTACGATCCATGAGGATGACCTTCCCAGTCAGGGTCTGTCCCGACAATGGAGCTCCCTAGCCCGATACATATCGCTCACACATCTACATATGATTAGTGTCGGCAGACACAGCGATCCGGCTCCCACCCATGGGGCGACCCTCCCCATCAATCACACAGCCCTCTGCTCCCACTCGTCTCGCCTTATCTGGCACCAGCCTATCAGAAAATCGCCCTACGCCGTCCTCTAGCCAATCAGAACACAGAGCCTCGCACGCCCCCTTCCCTTCCTGACGCCCATCAATACACTAGTCATCCTCACTGTCTGCGCTTCAACCAATGAGAATCCTCGGGCAGCGCCAGCCTCATTATTAATGAATGAGCCTCGTGTTTCTAATACCCGTCTACCACAGTGAAGAGGCGGGGCGATCGGGCGTGTCCTGTACGTAGGCTACCCGAGAGGGGCGTGGCCGCAGGCATGAATCACGGCTGCTAGAAAACAGAGGAGTATCCGGCGTGTGGAATATTAATAAAGGGGCGTGGCTCGTGGCAGGCTGGGTACGGCTCGGTGGTCTGCACCTTTCCATTAGGGGAGCTCCCTCCATAGCTGCCATGTCTTCCATCTTGCGGCCATTCACCGTCACCGAGGGGCCCTGCGAGCTCTCGCGGACTGGGGGACATGGAGGCAGGCGGGCGGTGGGCAGATCTCTGGCTGCTGCGGCTCCAGGAGGAGGGAAGGGGAAGATCACACATCCTGGGAAGGCGATCCTGGCTGGTGAGTATCATCCTCATGGCTTGTGATCGGCAGCATGACCTGATCTGTACCCAGACACCCATGGTACTGCAGCGATGATCAGGACATCCTTCACATGGGACAATGTCATCTATTTGTATGGAAGATCTGACGTCTGCTGGTATCCAGGAACTCCCAGACACAACAGTCCTGGGCTGTGATTTCTATAGGCTGAGCTTCGTTTGAGTTGTCACTCCTAGTGAGACCTAGAGAGGCATCGATCAGACCTGGAGCAGACAGAATCTGGAGCAGTGGTGCATGGCAACCAATCGGCTTCAAGTTCAGCTCGTCCAATTAAAGCAGGGGTATCAAACTGGTGGCCCTCCAGCTGTTGCCAAACTACAAGTCCCATCATGCCTCTACCTTTGGGAGTCATGCTTGTAACTGTCAACCTTGCAATGCCTCATGGGACTTGTAGTTTGGCAACAGCTGGAGGGCTGCCAGTTTGACACCTGTGAATTAAAGGTTTACTAAACCCAGGACCCTGCATTCACTGTATCTGGTCTCCCACAGTACACACAACATGGAAATGCAATTATTTTAGTAAATATAAACTGATAAATACCTTTTTCTCATCAGCAGTATATAGCAGTCTTGTGACTTCTATCAGTGCCCAGCAGAGCACTGGTTAAAGCTTGTAGGAGTTTTCTTTCTGCTCTAGGAGGATGCAAAACCCCTGACCTCTGTCTGGACAGTGCTGATTGGCCCTGTGCTGATCACAAACACTCTCCCAAGAAAAAAAACCCCCTCTAGCAATGCACACTAAACTGAGCATGTGCAGAATGGCTACGGTTCAGTCCGTCTTATCAGGAGATAAGAGGGAGACCCTGGAAGAAGGGGAGGATCAGAGAAGTCGGGATCAAACAGCCTTTTTACACAACGCAGAGGATTAACCCCTTAGGTTCCACAGTGAGTATAACAAGCATGCTTTACTACATATACAGACTGATTTTACTGTTGTGGGTTTAGTAACACTTTAAGCTTTAAAAATGAAAGCTAGAGGCTGATTGTCTGCCATGCACAGCTGCTCCAGTCTCAATTCCCCCTCATAGAGACATAAACCTAGAAATGTAAACCATGGATGGTAGAAGAAAACTGTCCAGCCTGTTTGTCTCAATCAGGTCTGAATCCACTTACTGTTGATGACCCACCCTATTTGTAAAATAATACTTTCCAAGGTTATTTTTGAAATGTCCTCTTGCTGGTTCAAGGTCATGTTCCCGTGTTCTTGATCTCAGCTTTCTCCTGAACCTTATTCCCCCTTCATGTATTTAAAGTGGTTGTAAAGGCTCAAGGCTTTTTTACCTTCATGCATTCTATGCATGAAGGTGAAAAAATAAAATACTTGTGTGCAGCTCAGGAGCGAGCCTGCTTGGGTGCCCCCATAGCAAACTGCATGCTCTGGGGTCACTCAGCAGGAGGGAGGAGCCAGGAGTGCCAGTAAGGGACCCGAGAGGAGAAGGATCAGGGCTGCTCTGTGCAAAACCACTCCACAGAGCAGGCAAGTATAATATGCTTGTTTTTTGTTTTGTTTTTTTTAATAGCCTTTAATATCACCTTAAGGCCCCTTTTCACACGGGCGTTCCAGATGTCTGTTTTTCATCTGTCCGTTTACAGATGAAAAACGGACCCCTGTGTATTTCTGTGGATTTGTGGATGTAAAGAGATGAACATCTTTTTACATCCATTAATGTCCGCATCCGTTAACATCAGTTTTTTTTTTTTTTGAACGGAAGAAAACCCTATTTTTCTTCTGCAAAACCCCCCAAAACAGACATAAATGGATGTAAATGTCTGAAAACCAGATCTAAACCAATGTAAAAGGATGAAAAATGGATCTAAACGGATAAAAAAACAGATGTAAACCAATGTAAACGGATGAAAACTGGATGAAAATGGATATAAACTCATCCGTGTTTTTTTTTTTTTTTTTTTTTTTTTTTTTTTTTTTTTTTCCTTTGCAAAAACGTGACTGAACTGAAGAAAAAAAAACCCGGAACGCCAGTGTGAAATGACCCTACAGACTAAGTTCACCTTTAAGAAAAAAATAAATTCACGTTATTGCAGAAAAAAAAAAATTTACATTTATTTATTTTTTTTTTCCATGCAATCAGTGGATGGTGGGTGCAAGGTCAGGCTCCTGCACTCTCGTCCTCCAACTCTCTGCTCATACCTCTGTACAGGCAGTCAGAAATCTGAAGGAAGTGTCAGTGGACTAAGGGCTGGTCCACACCTCAATTTCTGCATTCCGGATGCGATTTTGCATGCGTGTTTTTGATACTTTTATCCCCTCTCCTTTTTTTTTTTTTTTTTTCTTTATCTCAGTTTAGGACATTTGTGTTCCGGTGAATTTTTGATGCGTTTTACCACGTTCCAGATGCATTCCATACAGAAAAAATGCAGCATGTTCTACTTGTGTTGACTGGTTGGAATGCACTGCAATCGTGAGACCTAAGGCCACTGAAATACAAAGAAAAACGCAGTGCATGCATTTTTGATGCAGCTTAAAAAGATGCACTGGGCTGCATCTGGTGTGAACCAGCCCTAAGAGTACACTGATTATCAATGGTAGTCCATTGAGAAGTACAAGACCATCTGTTGCAGTGGAAGATGGGACTTGTAGTTTATTCATTCACAGATCTCTACGAATTACGTGGCTGTACTGGTGAAGCCCTATGCAGCTGTGCCAATTTTTTTTAATGTGACAGAGGCCGCAGGGGAGAGGAACCTCCACCCACTATCACGGCAGGAAAAGGTAGGAAGTTGTGTGCTTGGGAAGATGTTACAATCAAGGCTCTGTTTGCATCATCATTGTGTGCATGCCATTCTGTGTGTCGTGTGTTGGGCAGCCCATTCATTTGGGTGGGCTGTCCTGTGTGGGGGAACCGCTCAAAAGAACTCCCTGACCCTGTTGAGAAATCGCACTCTAGCAAGCATAGTGCTATGGAAAACGCGTGTGTTCACAGCTGCATGAGTAACACGTTCCCAACGGTAAACTTGGCCTTTAATCACTTCCTATTGGCCGAATGTATATATGTCTCCTCTTGGCGGGTGCGCTTTAATGCCTAGCAGCTGCATATATTCGTCTATAGATAAACAGTTTACTGTGCTGAGTGTACTCCCAGCACAGTAACTAAACTATCATGCAAACTTGCGATAGGGAGCTTTTGATCATGTAACTGTCAATTACAGTGGTCACGTGATCAGAATGCCCGCCTCCATCTCCTGGCATTTTGATTCTCTTACCCAGTTGCCAACCGCAGATAGATGAATGACGGCTGTTCTGGGAGGGCGTCATATGACGTCCTCCCAGAACGCGCTCTCCTGCGTGCCCCCCAGGGTGCGCACCCGGCGATCTCCGTGATCGCTGTGTCCTACGGACACAGCTGATCACATGATGTGGTAAAAGGCCAAACACAGCGGCTTTTTTACCACGCTGATCACAGGGAGATGCAATTGCCAGTTCTCGACTGCACTTTCCTCACGCTGTCAGAACGTGGGGAAAGTACTGCTGAGAACCGGCAGTTGTCAGAGCAGGGATCGGCACTGATCATCAGGGCACTGATGATCGGTGCCCAGCAGTGCCCAGAAGTGCCACCCATCAGTGCCACCCACCTGTGCCCATCAGTTGCACCAGTCAGTGCTCAGCAGTGCTGACTATCAGTACCCGTCATCTATCAGTACCCATCATCAGCCGCCTATCGGTTCAACCTATCAGTGCTGCACATCAGTGCCGCCTATCAGTGCAGCCTCCTCAACGCACATCAGTGAAGGAGAAAAATTATTTGCAAAATTATTTGCAAAATTTTATAATAGAAACACATTTTAGCTCTTTTTTTGTTTATAGCGCAAAAAGTAAAACCCCCAGCGGCAAGTAAATACCACCAAAAGAAAGCTCTATTTGTGAGGGAAAAAAATGATAAAAATTTCATATGTGTAAAATGTTGCATGACCACGCAATTGTCATTCAAAGTGTGACAGCGCTGAAAGCTGAAAATTGGCCTGGTAAGGAAGGGGGTAGAAGTGCCCGGTAGGCAAGTGGTTAAAGGACCGGGAGTCAATGGCAGGAAGGGGTTAAATGCCCAGTCTAATGAATGTGACTGTCAGTGTTTTAACACGTGCGACTTGTTGCAGCGCAATTTCTAAAGTACTTCTTGCAATACTTTTTCTGCAGTTTTATTGCGATTTCAGATGCATAGAGTATAATGGAAATCGCACTCCAAATTGCAAGAAATCGTTGTAAATCTTCACAAGTAGCAATAAAGTCTTTAGAAATTGCACCTGAAATTGTGCGTTTTGTGTGCAATTTCAGCGTGGTTTTAAATCGCAGCGGTGTGACCGCTGACTAAAGGTTTGTCATGTCCCTCTTTTCACTTTTTCTTCTAGACTCTACATAGTGCTGATTAAGTCAGCTTGTATTTGAAGAGTTGGAGAAAACACAAACACAGAGAGAAGTTGTAGAAAATGTTTTGGCTGGGATTGGACTACAGCAGGGATGGCACACTGGTGGCCATCCAGCTGTTGTGAAACTACAAGTCCCATCATGCCTCTGCCTTTGGGAGTCATTCTTGTAACTGTCAATCTTGCAATGCCTCATGGGACTTGTAGTTTGGCAACAGCTGGAGTTCCGCCAGTTTGACACCCGTGGACTAGAGGATACCAAGGCAAGGCAGCAGTGCTAATCTTTGAGCAACTAATGATGTCGCTCTTAGCGCTGATGAATTATATTTATACAGTTTATTTTTATCATACATTATAATATATATATTTTTATGTCATGTATCATGACAACTGACATCAACCTTAGGGGTCTATTTATGAAAGAATTGTGTGGATGAATGTGACAAGCATTCACCCATCCTTGATAAAAATGTGACCATATTTTGCTTAATACAGAGATTTCCTGTGATCATCGGCTCCATCTAATGGCCATAATGCAGTATTTTTTCTGTCTGAGGTATTTTAGGAAAAATAGCACATTA